TGATGCAGAGTGGTCAAATTAAATATTGTTTCAAGTTGATGCAGAGTGGTCAAATTAAATATTGTCTCAAGTTGATGCAGTGTTTAACATTATTGACTAGAATGCCTATTTTTCAATAGGGAATGAAGAAAGCATCTCAAATAATAACATATTTCACAGGGGCATTCAAAGGAATTATGTTCCCCTGATTCATCTCCTGATGTGTCTGAAGAATTTTTGACTCCTGATCCTGATTATTTCCTTCCTCCTGCTATTCAAGAAAACTCAGAACTAGAGGTAAAAATCACAGCCTAGACAGGAGTGAAATCTATATCAAAACTTTGGAAGTAGATAAAATCAAATGTGGCTTTATTACATTTTCTTTTGATTTGAAGAAGAGCTGCAGAAAACTGAAGAACAAAAACTTTTATACTTTTGAAAGAATATTTACAAATAAAGATTTATCTAAAAGTCAGAAAATTCTAACACTGTTCCTTTAAGAAAATGTTTCTTTTTTTTTTTTTTAAATTCAGGTTTGTTTACTAGGAAATCATGTATTCTGTGGAGCCATAAGATTAGACTGCTGTAGGCTGAGAAAAGTTTGAGGCTGCTGACAATCTCAGCCTTTTCTTCCTAGTTCTATCCAGCATAGTACTTCATAGTTAGAAAATAATCTGTATTCATTTCCTAAGGAAGATTTGAAACTAGTTGTATGGACTGTTCAATCCATACTGTTTGCTGTTCCTCTCAGTGACCAGCTCTTAAAAAGTGTACGTTTCTCCCTTCTGATAACTTTGAACATCGTCCTATAGGAATTGTCCTACCCTTCACAGCTTGCCTATGAGAAATTGAATTTACTTCCTTTCATTTTCCCTTCAGACCTCAAATCCTGAAGGCAAATTAGAAGACACCCAAGAAGTCTATGTACAGAACCCGGTATCTGATGACGCTGGATCAGGTATTCCTATTAAATGTGCTCTTTCTTTTGAGGGTCTTTTAATTGCACTTATTTTTGTCAACAACATTCCTGTTAGAAAGCTGAAGCTAGATACTTTTGGGTCACTTAGTCTCTTATTCTCCATTATATTAATGAGAGTTCAGGGCCCACAGGATTTTGGAAAATGACGTTTGGGCGTGGTGGTCAGTGAAATATTGTTAAGTGCAGAGATCATATACTTGCTGTGTTTCAGTTAAAAACCTGCTTGCAGCCTTTGTTGTATATTCTAGGGCTGAGTTAACACTTTCATACAACTTGCTATGGTGCTGGAAACAATTAGAGTTTAATTTATACATTAATACTCTTATTGCTTGAAGTCTCTTGAGCTTAAAAACTGTAAGAGCTGACAACATGTGTGCAAAATAACGCAAGGATCAGCATTGTTCATCTATTGTATTGCCTGTCTTACTCAGCTCAAATCTGTCAATGTTGCCGTGTTCCCCAATGCTCCAGTGGCTGACTAGCAGCTGCGGTATGTTTATGAAAACACATCTTGAAAAACATGTTTTCTCTTGACAACAACGAAGGTCACAAGAACTAAAAAATACAATAAAGTTGTAATTTCCTGTTCAATGAGTTGTGTCATTTTCTTTTGTACTTGCAAAACCTAATAACAGGGAACATTTGTTATTTGTATTCAGGAGGAAAAATATTACTCTCCAGCACAGCAGCACAGAATTCTGGCAATAACACATTAGGAGTGAATCAACTTACCCATACGCCTGTAGCCAGGTAGAGAGACTATTTTCATTGCTAGTTCAAGCATAAATTAGGTTATTAAGTATGCTGTCTTTAATTCTGCTCATATATCTAATATTCAGATAAGGTGCCAGTGGTGTTTTTTAAATGATGATCCTGTATATAACATTTTCTTGCCAAGAAAACATCGAAAGGACTTTTCACGAGTCTCATGGGGCTTTGTCTTTTACTGTGTTTAGGATCTTTTTGCCTGCCTAATGAGGGAGATAAAGTAGAAAAAATAAGTCATGTATATTACTATTCCTTTTACACTGCTATACCACAGTCTTAAACAGAGCAAAGATAATTCAAATTAGGACTTCTGTCATCAGTGTTAGATTTTGATGTGCTTCGGTACTGGAGCTCAAACGGCATGAAGATCGTGCCTTTCCCCTGCCATGGGAAGTATGCTCAGTGCAGCTTGCTGCAGATGATGTTATCCCAAGCTTGGATACTTGCCATCTCATTAGCTGTCAAACATGAGGGTTATGTCCAGTATTTCTGTAAATCTTGTATTGTTGTCGTACCCAGAGATGTCAGCCAGAATCACCACCTCATGCTGCAAGAGATTCTTTCCCCTTAAAGAGATGTAGTCCTCAACATGAAGGTCTGTCAGCAGTAGTGTTCAGGCTTCTTGAGAGCTCTCCTTAGCTCATCTTTTTTGTGTTCCCCTGGAGTTATCAGTTGCTCGGTTTCCCCACAGTGGGGGAGTGAGAACTGTATTTACTGTCTGTCAGTGTCTGTACTCTCTCCCCTCCTCTAGAGGGACTGAGTTACCAGTACCAAAGGTAGGTAGGAAGTGTAAATAAATACTTGGCCTCATGGTAAAGGGTAAGGTTCTTATTTCCTCCCTTTCCTGGAGAATTGAGCTTTTGGCAGCAGGACAGAGTGCTGTTGTTGTCTGACCATCTAGCAGTAATCGGCTTTGAATCCCTCTTTGACCTTGAAGAACGATGTGATTGAGACAATAGCTTACAATGCAGGCTAGTCAAAGGATGATAAAACAACGTAGTGATAGGTATTCACAGATTTTTATTTAGCTTCCGGTTTTATTTGGAAACTGCTGATGTCAGTTAGCGTTCTCTGTACTGGGTACAAGTGTGCAACGTGCTTAAAACTGTATTTTCGTCTAGCTCTTCTTTTCCCTGTCCTCTAAGGCTTTAAGTAAAAAGGTTTTAGGAGCTTTGGTCTATCTCAGAGGGAAGGTAGTCCTTTAAATGTATTTAGTTTCTTTTCTGTTTAAAAATATATTTCCATAATTTTCCAAGAAGATAATTAATATGAGGTCCCCCCTTTCCTCGTTCTAGTGTTGAAGCAGCACAAGAAGCGATGCTAAGGGAGCTGCAGAAAGAATGCAGAGAGAAAGATATGTAAGACTGTTTCGTACTAAAACTGCAGCAAGTTGGCTCGTTATCATTCTAGAGTTTTTCTGTTGATAAGAGAATGTGCGACAGACCAAAACTGAGAGACAATACTACTTAAAGTATTGAAATAATATTTTTTCACGATAAGTAGGGAGATTGCTATGGAAGAGCAATTGTATACCTTAGCTTTCTTTGAAATATTTTCATATTCATAAGCAATTAACTTAGTATAATTTGGGTATACCTCTTCACGTTTAAGTATTAAGCTTCCTTGTTTCTTCTGTGCATAGTACACAGAAGAAATCAAATCATTTTAAATAGCAAATTGCTGGTGCGTAGTTACATAAATATTATTACAAAGAGAGTCTGGTGATTGTGATTCTTAGGAACAATTATCAAAATAAGTTTGTGACTTAGCTAGTAAAGTTGGTTTCTTTTTACAGACAGCTGAGATTTGGATATAATTTATTGAGTTGGTAAAAGTCAACATCTGATCATTACCTGAGAAAAACGTAAACAAGGGTATATGTGCAATAGATGTTAGTTTTCTTAGTATTTCAGTTCTGTACCTGCTTAAAAACGTTTGTCGTTTGCGTAGACATCGCTGCCTGTGCAGATACTTAGCGGTTTTGCTTTATCTGAGAAATTCTTTTAAAGGCTCATAAGACTTAGAATTAGTCTTTACTTAACAGATCTTTAGTTTTCATTAAGTCTTGGGATCTTCCTTTGGCTTTGGAAATAGTTTTTTGCCTGCTGGCTTACATTTGAAGCTCTTGCCCTTTTTGGAGGCAATTTACTGTGTTTTTTCTTATAAAAGAACTATTAAAGGGAAGAAGCTCCATAAAGGAAAGGGAAAGCTGTTAACTAACTTTTCTGTCTCTGCAAGACCACTGAAGACAGTATTCTTCTGAAAGTTCTGTGAGCAATTGTCAAAGGGAGTATCTAACTTTCTTCTGAAAAGCTAGACAAGACTGAACAAAGTGGAATTTAAAGAACCTGAAAATAGCAGAATTTAGTAATTGAAAAGTGTAAGAAGTGGATATTCTAACTGTCAGAGTGTCTTTCAATTCTTTAGATCACTGACAGATATTCAGGATTTGTCAAGTATTTCCTGTGAGCAAGAGAGCTGCTCTAAGGATATAAATTGTAAAACACCCAGAGCGAGTCATGCACCAACAAGTGTCAGCACTCCACTCAGCTCAGGTAACTGCAGAGGGGAAGGAAGGAAGGAAGGATCAATGCCTTATTTAACCTTTCTATGCCAGGAGTCAGCTCTTTCTGCCAGCACTCGCTAATGTAAAAATGGTTGGTGTGAATCATGGAAACTCCATTCATGTTGTAGCAAATGCAATAATAAGTAATTATAAGAAACAATATACCTGTGGTTTGAAATCTTTTGTTTTGGCCATGATAATTATACCTTTGTAGCTAAAAGCCTGTTTGGCTGAAAGGAATTTGACAGGTAGAACTAAAAGAATTTGCAGACAGACAGCTGGAAAAGCCAGTATCTGAAAGGTCTCTGAAAAATAAGTTACTTGCTGGTTGATGCTTACGGTAGCCTTCATAAATGGGAAGTTGACTTAGAATTTGAAAATGATATGGAGTGATGAATGTAGCTTTTTGCATTTTAAAGCCAGACAATCGCCTAGTACATTTTCAGCGCTGCTAAAGTGCTCTCAGCATTGTTGAACTTGTTAAATGTTGTTTAGGGATAATGAATTACTTTTCCACTTTCATTAATTTTGTGCAATAGAGTTGTAAAAGTTTCTCGGTTGGCAAAGTCTTAGGCTAGTAATGTCTGAGACGGAAATCCCAGGCAAAAATCTGCTAAGAGATCACTTCTGGACCGTATGTTTAGTTTCAAATTAGCTGGTATACAATGCTACTTATGCTTCTATTCAGATGTGACCAAGATATTTAAAAAAAAAAAAAATTCCAGCTTTGCCATCTTTTTTAATTCTAGAGGAAAAACTTCCAGTAGCCATTAAGAAATACAGACACTCTCATGAAATAGCTTTGGATACTTCTTGTTGGGTTTCTCAAGAGACTTCCTCTGCAGCGTCCAGAACGTTTCGT